TACAAGCTTTACATATGGATATTTCCTGTTGATAAGCATTCTTTGTTCTTGTGAGACAGACAGACCCACGCATTCCAATTACAGTTTTCCTGATTTACTTTCAAATGTGTGCCATGAACTTGCTTTAGCAGCCAGCCCATCATTCCACCACCCCACTTTGAATCTGAAAATGATGTAATTTTCCAAGATTCACCCAAAATCAATATCTGCATACTGGAGACCCCTTAATTTGCTTACAGGTGGAAAGGCAACGTAAAAGACATTGTAATGCACAACAGGTTATTAAAAGAACAATGATTATGCCTGCCAGGGTCATTACTTACTTAGTACCTACTTAACCAGTGAAATCAGGCAACCATCCTGTCAGTCAATGCCACTAGTCTTTCTGTTCCTCCATGTGGGGAGAGGGTGTTGTAGTTATCTTTGTGATGTGTGTAATTCAGCTGTGGAATTCCTCCGATTTGTTCAGAATATGTACACAGCATCGTTGTCCAAGTAGTGCATACACATCTCCTTAGGATGCTAATATCATATCAAGAGCCATTCTATTCTGGACTGTCATTGTCCGAATGGCTTCTTGTTCTAGGATTTCCTTCACTGCTTGTATGTGATACAAGGCATTACTGAGGGACCAAAGCCCACAGAACAAAGTAAGGGGTTGGTAGTTCTTCAAATACTTTCTGGATTGTTCAAGATCCCTATGATTTCCAATCTTTCTTTCAGGTAAAGTGGGCTTAATGTAGGTGGGTGGGAAGGGCACAGATACGTAACAAACCATATGGTCGCATCCCAACAGTTGTTAAGTCTATTTGTCTTAACATCTTAGCCTTCACAGACACAGACACACCAATCAGCTAGTGGTAATAATTGGGTAACTCCTAATTCTAGTGTGGGTAGCTACAAATACCTTTGGGGAAATTTTTCTAATTGAGAAAACACCTAAGGGAGATCGCAGTTCTCCTCTCACACAACTATGGTTCTGGAGGCTTTTGATTCCAGAACAATAAGTTAAGTCCCAATTCTTCTGAGAAAGTCACAGGTTCCGTAGTCCAAGAATCAGGAAGGGCAGATTGTGGGTATTTTTCATTCTGGAAGTGATGTATCCAAGATGCGAGGCCTTTCACTTTTAGTGCTGTATGCGTGGTCTGAAGCACATGAAATGGTCCCTTCCACTTCTCATCCAAGGAAGTTTTTGGTCCTCACATCTTTACAAGCATCCAGTCTGCAGGCTGAAATGGATGCACTGGATGATCTAGTGCTGCAGGTAACAGGAAAGAAAATTCATAACCCCAGCAAGTTGTCTTATATATTGGTACAAGGTCAGTTCGCCCACCAATGGGATGGACCTCTCCTCTGCCTTTAGGGAGGAATGTGGTCATTCAAAAAGGGCCTCAAAGAGGCTCAAGCCTATTTGCTTTCGAAGTATAATGTGAAGCCCCAACAATGTGAGTGGCAAAGTTTGCAGTGAGGACAGGTGAGCGTCTTGGCATAGCTTAGCTAGCTGTTGTTTTTGAAAATCAATTTTTTCATAGGACTATTTGCCAGGTGGTAGGCTGAGTAAAGCTTCCAAGTGATGTTTCACACAAACTTAGCTATGAAATATGGGTCACAATCAAATGATACACTATTTGGCAGCCCAAACCTAGGAACAATTTCTTCCAGTAGGATGTTTACTACTTTATGATCTTTATTAGTCCTGCAAGCAAAAGCCTCAGGCCATCCTGTGAAGGTACATTATAGTCCCAAAACATACTTAAAACCTTGCTTTCTAGGTAATGGAGTGAAATCTATTTCTCAAATTGTCCCTGAGTGCAAAGTGTGCCTTTAAGTCGGACTCATAGAAGTGGGCGTCTGTCCACTTTTGGATTATTTCTGGCACAAATCAGACAAGCTGCTACAGCTTGGAGATAGAGGATTAGAGACCCTTGCCTACTACACAGCATATCACAAAATGTACCAGTGCTTTTGACTCCCAATGTGTGCCAGCATGTATTTGTTATAAAAGAATCCTTAGAGGTGTATCTGGTAGAATAAATTTGTTCTCTACCCTCCACCACCCATCATTCCCCTCCATGCCACCGATAAACTTGGCCCATGCCCTGTCTCCAGGTGTATAAGAGGGCGGGGAAGTAGGTATGGATGGAGACATCAGAATTAGGAATACTGGTCATTCTGAGTGTCATAGGGCAATTTCCTTAGCAGCCCTATCTGCAGCCAGTTCCCTTTCCTGTAAAGAGTGTTTTCCTTAGAATCCCCCATGACATGTATGACTGCTACTTCTTTTGGCGGCCAGACTGCTTCCAATAATTGTAAAATTTGTGGACCATA